ATATAGTCATTCGAAAAAAATATTTTTTGTAATATAATGTAATATAAAAAATAATTAAGTATTAATAATCAGTGTCGTAGCAAGGAAATCTTGCGCCTGGGGCCAAACATTTTTTTCAATTTAAGAAAACAATACTATTATACTGTAATAATTACAGTATCTAACAGATTAATTGAAACAATTTCAGCTGTTCTCACATTATTCAAACTCTCTCAGGAAAATATTCTGGAGGTGTTTCTCGTATTATGGACCAGGGCCGCTTGATCCAGTGACTGAAATGATTTTAAAAACAATGACAAATAAAAATATTTTTCTTTTTATCTTGTTTCAATTCATTTATTCGATAATGCTTTTGTTCTGTTACTGTTATGTTTACCTGTCTGCTTTGTTCATAACAATTATCAACTTCAAGTTATTTATCATTTTTTATATTATTTTGTCTATATAATTCTTGTGATTTTTGTCACTTGAAATGTGCGTAACTTATATATCGTAACGGTAACCAAGCTTTAGAAAACGCAGTGGATATTTTTTATTTGATGTGCCGCGAAACAAAGTCTCCTCATCAAGTGTGCAGCCGTAAAAAAGTTTGGCAGACACTTTAGTGTCATTTATGGCATGAAAATTCTCACGAACATTCCGGACAACCCAATATTTTCTGTTAAATTAATTTTGGCGAGTGGTAATATTCTAATTTATTATTATAAAATATTATATTATAAAAGTATTTTATATGTCCAATGTCGCGACAATTAAAGGTGTGCAATTTTTATTTTTTTGTCTGAAACTAGTTTTCGTAATGAGAACATTACCAGCTACAAAATCCACATTAAGATATTCTTGTATTCATAAAAAAATCATAAACATAATACAATTAAAATATTTGTGATTGAAATAATATTGAATATGTATCTTTTAATATTAAAACGTATAGCATGTAAATATATTCAATAAGTTTTCCGCTTTGACACATGGTAGGATTTTGCCATTTGGAAACATACGTTACATAAAATATGAATATATCTGTTTTCCGCATGAATTTATAGGAACGTTGCATGTAAAGAAGGATGAAAATAAAAAAAAAACGAATGATAGGCGTATAATGTAATAAGTAGTTTTCGCCATAAATGTTACAAACAAATACACTTAGGCTATTCCAGATATGGGTCGAAATAATCAGCTTTTATGTAACGCAGTTTCCTAGTTCTATACGAAAATGTACGAATACAATTAATGCATACAAGACACGGTTTGTGTGATAAGTTTAAAAATCCACTAGGCCGTTACTGTTGTTTTGTATACGCAGCTAGTCAGCATAATAAGTAGAACAGTTAATGCTCTTGAACTTGTGTTATTGTTAAAACCTAAGTCGTTTTATTTACTGTAATACATCATAGAATCGTCACTGTGCAATTGAATTATAAATAAATGAAATATGTTGAAACCTAAGCTGACTTTTTATAATTAACTACCATTCAAAAGTTTCGAATAATTAATTTTTTTTTCTGATATTTCCTATAATCTTATGTAATAAGACTAACCTTATTAAATTATTATTTAGTATATACAGGTAAACGTCGTTTTACGCCGGGGTTCTGTTCCTACAAAAGCCGTCGCAAATCGAATCGGCGTAAAATGAACCCATATTTACAGTGAGGTAACTATAGGATTTACTTCTATATAAGTGTAAAATTAGCAATAAGCGTTATTTCACAGGGGCGTTATAGTGAATCGTCGTAAATCGAACCGGTGCAAAACGACGTTTACCTGTACTAATAAATGCTCAAATTACTAAATAAACTTCTTTCTAAGACTAGGTATCTATAAATAATTACCATTTAGTTTTTTTAATATATAATTTTCACATATTTTGGTAATTTTACTCATTGTATAGATATGTTTATCCACTAAATTCTATTTTATTTATGAACATTCTTTTCCTTCTTAAACAAATCCACACTCAATGTTTTTTTTTGTGTATATTATAAATATTGTTGTTAGTAATAAAACTGGTTTACCTTAAGCAAGGTCGAAAACTAGTTTATATTTTGTACTAAATAATATACAGATTAAATGGGCGGATTAGTTAAATAATATATTTTTAAACTTTGGATAATTATTATATTTGTATATGCTTATGATTTTGGATAATAATCCTAATAACCGAATCAACATGTTAATATAAGAAAATAAAATTAAAATATCTCCTTGAACACGTCAAACGAAAGTTGCAGATAAAATTTGAACGCATTAATATGAAAGAACCTACTCAAAACGATGTTTCGAATAAATGTGTTATATCATGTAATCGATTTAGTGGAAATAATGCCATAACAGTAATGCCGAAAGTCCGTTAATGTATTTAAATTACAAGTAGCTCCGATTTGTTCTTTTCTAGTTCACATATTTTTGTTTGCACTCAATTACCGAGTGAGGTTTCACGTAGGCCTCTTCCGAGATCTATATCTGGTTTAGCAGGAAGGGAATTTAAAACGTTCTTATTGTAAATATCAACGGAGCATGGCCATAAAGTTCACTAGACTTCTCTCGCCAATAAACTAATTACCTGCAGCGATAGTACTCGCCGATAAATATACAATATCGTGTTCCTTTCTTTTTCACGCAAACTTTGTACAACAATACCTCGCATAGTGCGGCCCAATCAGTCCGATATGAACATTTCGAAAAATAATAAATTAAAAAAAAATACTACACAAAATATATTTTTATACAAAACTTATCGTTTTTGTACAGGTCAAGTTTCTTTTTGTGCAATTTATTTATTATATGCTTTTAAAGTCTTCGATTTGTCTGATTTCAAACAGTCCGAGATGTTAGTGTAACGGATTACCCGGATTATGCGAGATATTGTTGTTGTTATAAAAGTACGTAGTTTTTTTTATTTAAGACCCAAATAGCCCAAATAGCCTAATCTAATATCACTCATAGTTTTGTAATCCTCGGAGATCTAATAATCTTCATTGATTGAATCACTTAACTCATCCCACGCTGTAATTAAGTTCAGTTCATTAGATTATCCTATATTCAGACGAAGAGATTGTTTGTAATAGCCTATTATTTCTGTATTTGCAGAATTATTATTAATAATATTTTTTATAATATAAATAATAAATTTTCATAAAATTATATTTTGCCGAGCAAGCAGATGCTTTTCATCATAAAACAATCAAATCGCATTAACAATCATACATCAGTCCGATAATAATTCTTTACGTTTTAGAAATATTTCTTCGCTTGCTTTGCTTACATTTGCATCCTTTGATCAGGTCTATTATATGCACGTATGAAGTGAGTTTCACTGCATTGTTAGCATATGTCCAAAGCGCGCTAGCCATATGGTTCAGAATACCGGGTAGATTAAGAAGACAAACTATGGTGAGAACGAAACCTAATACTATTTGCGTCAATGGTTTCTTAAATGAGAATATTTTCATAGCGGATGTATGAAAAAAGAAACAACATAGATCAATGAATAACGATTGAAATTATTATAAGTAACGGATCAGTTGAATGAATTTATGTGAATATTTCAATTTTTTGTAACAGTGAATTAATAATAATAGTTATTATTGTAAAGATCGTACATAAATAAATTTAAATGAATACATTCAAATCATAAACCGATGTAAAGGGATGCTGATTATTGTTTTTTTCTGCCAAAAGGAATAATATATTTTTAAATGTTTTAAATAAATTCTATATAAATACAGTGGAACCTCGCTTAACGAGTTTAATCCGTTCCAAAATTTCCGGATTTGTTCTATATTGAAACATATTCAAAAATACACATAATAGTGTACACAAGTTTTAAAAATGATGTAGCAGGCGCGAAATCCGGGATTTATCTTCTTATCGTGACTCGTTATGCGAAACGTCGGTCGTTAAGCGAGTCATTTTTCTTACAATTCATTTTGCTCGTTAAGCGAGGTTCCACTGTATATGGTTTTTGGTTTATAAACGTATGTGAATGGTTCTATATCGAAAAGACGACAATCAAATTTCCGATAGTATCAAAATCCCAACAGTATCTTTTATTATTTGATATAGAGTTATTCATGATAAACCTAAACAATAAGAAATAATCTAAAATACAATTATAATATAGATTTTTGTTATTTATTGCTAATAACAATATATTATTGTATTTGTTTATATTGACTTATTTATAATAAACTTTAACAATAAGAAATAATCTAAAATACAATTAGATTATGAATTTTTGTTATTTATTGTTAATATCAATAAATTATTATTATTTGATTTGATTTTGTTGACTTGTCCTTAAAATTAAGAAATATTCCAAATTAAAATTAATTTATTGCAATTGATAATAAATAGAAATAATTAATAATCTGCTGAAAGGCTATCGACATAGGTCTTTCCGTTAGGGAATTTATTTTTTATGTTATATTATATTCTTTCATATAAACATATGCAAGGGATTTGACCCGGGCGAATAATAAACAAAACCCTACTCCTAATCACAACTCCCACCCAGTAATAATAATAATTTACTTCGTAAGTAGAGGATTTTGATATAGTCGAAATTATGATTGTCGGGATTTTTATACTGTCGGGATTTCAATTGTCACCGTATGTGTATATTTATGACTTGCTAATAATTGAAGAGATTTACCTTTTATATTTTATTTTTTTATCGCTTCTTTTATCAGTTCTTTAGAATCACTGGAACTGGTATTGCGAGTGAGCCGATTGGATTTTTTACTATGTTATGTAATATTATATTATTTTATAAACGAATGCATTAATGTAAATAATTATAGTAAATAAATAAAAAAATTCAATAAAAATAATATAGTATAAATTGATAATTGTTAGTGATTAAAATATGTTGTTAAATAATGCAATTTATTTTGCAATGAAACATAATGATCGAGAAAAAAAGAAAATATTGTGCCACGTGAAAGAAGAACCTACGCAAGTAAAATACGTACTGATAAAAATAGAGGCAGCATCTTAATTTAGTCTGTTCTCTGCATTGGTATAGTGTGGTTCATAGTGATCGCAATTAGGGCTCCGTCAGTGAACATGTCTTAAATAAATTATTCCGCGTATTAATTACCACTTGCATTTAATATAAAATGTTATAAACGAATCTAACGTTCGGTTATGCAAACATCCGCGAATTGTTCGCTAATTATTTGCCGCTTTTACGTAAAAGTTAAACAAGTTTTTTTTTATTATTGTGTTCGCTCGTCCTTGGTAGGTAACAACCGACGTATTGATAATGAAAAATATACACAATTTTACACGTAACCTTGTATTTTGATCTACCTAGTTTTTGAACTACAAAAAAAAAGTTTAAAAAAGATGGTTGCTCAGTGCTAGTATTCTCGCATCAGTGGTGTGGCGCATTCGAATCAAGAAAGTGTAATAATAAAATAATCATGAAGAAGTTTTGCAATAAAATTACAAATCAACAATGGCGTGTAACAGTACCGAACATCACTTTTAGAAAATCATTGACGCACCTTGGTTCTGGCGATAAAATCAACAGAATTTCAAGCGGAAGTTATGATGTGCAAGCGGCACAAGAAGAGTTTGATGCCAAGGGTACCATAAACGCTGAAACAGTATGCCTAAGTTCAGATTCAGAAGAACACTACGAGGATGCCAATAAAGATTCGGAAATTTACACAGAAGTAATCAAAGTATCAAAGAACCTAACCGAATCTAACAATAAGTATGAATATGATGTGCCAAGAATTTGTTTTTCGTTCTTCGAAGGCAAACGCATTGAAAATGAAGACTACGATATCGTGAAATGCGAGTCTATTAAACACAAGAGTGAAGTTAAAATTGTCCTCACACCTCCGATTCCATCATCGAGCGAAGAGTCATTGACAATAAAAAAATCAGACAGTGATCCAAATTTATCCCATTACGAAGATGATGTCGACGACGGTTTCTATAAAGTTCCTAAAAAAATCAAAGAAAATAGATTATCCAAGTCTTTACATGACTTTAAATGCGAGGAACTTGCTAAATCCCATGAAAGCATCGAACATATTTCATGCAGTCAAGTTATCAACACTTCCCAGAATTCCCTAGGCTCTGATTGTAGTAAACCCAAGATGAAGAGGGGCAGTTTACTAAACCTCCAGAAAAGTAGAGCCGTAGATACATGGTCGAATTTCAAAACAAAGTTTAATAAAATTATTGAAGAACATTCTACGCACCAAAAAGTAGGATCATTTCCTGATAAAGAGAAAATCGCTTTAAACATAGAAGAGATGTATAAAAATTCAAGAGAAAAATGTAAGAAAATGTTGAAAAGTACCGGCAAAATGTTTAAAGCAAAAAGGGACCAAGATAAGGAACAAGTATCGGAAAACTCGTCGCAGATTGTTAAAAACGATGCGTTCTTTGCCAAAGTCGAGTTAAAAGCCAGTGACATTGAATATGTTTTTGAACAAATGCCAGAAAAGGACAAGCGGCCGGAGCATAAATTTAGTGAAGTGAAAATTGAACCTTCTGAAAATGAAGGAAAACTCACCAAATTGGGATTCAGAAAGAGTAAACAATATTTAGAGGTAATCTAACTTGTTTTCCATTTAATGCTTTAACTAAGTTTATACGTTGTCATACTTGTTTGCTTCAAATGAAAATATATGACTTGAACATTATTAATAGTTTTAGAATTGTATTTATGGTTAAAATGTTTACATCTATATTTTTCAGATGTTGCTGTACGCTTAGAAAATTTTAAAACAAACTGAATTTAAATGGTGCGAACATAAATTCTAAAAATTTATAAAAAATAAATTTTGTGTACATAACTGATCACTTATCTATGCGGTTATAAAGTCATCGATTAGTTCGGTTTCAAACAGTGCGAGATATCTATTATCCGTACTATACGAGGTGTTATATACACATTTACAAAGAAATCAGCCAACAGCCCTTTGATCCATATAGGATAATACATATTATTTATATTAAGTAACTTTCATTGAAAGAAATTATAAATACTTATAATTCTTGTACTATTTTTTTAACAGACCGAATTATATGAACTTAGAATGAAAGTTTAAACTTCATTCCAATCTGAACTTGACAATATATACATTTTCTCAATACATGTTTAAACCTAAAATGATGATTTTACAGTAAAAAGTAGAAGGTAATTTTATTGTGCACTGGTGCTAATAACAATATAATTGTGTGAAGATTCCTAACGAATAGACATAATTGGTTTAACCTCGCCCATAACCTCATTTATACTTGTTAACGTGACAATTTCGCACTATAAAAGTAAATAACACTCTCAGAAGTTCATCAAACTATATATTGCATTATAATAAGCATGTTATATTTAATATAAACATTTTCAATTTCGGGTCGAAAATTTGTTTACAATAAATTATTTTTTATTAATATTCAATTGTATATTTTCAAATTGTAGTTACTCAGACTATTATTACCTATTATTACATTATATATTTAGAATTCACAATATCTATTTTCAGTTTAGAACTATAAATAAAATCTGGTCAGAAAAGATATGTGTGTGGGTCCCCGAATTATTTTTAGTACATCATTTTAGAAATGGAACTATGTCATTTATCATTTCAATTGTATTATATACAGGTTGAATTAAATGTAATTACATTGTCCTATATGTAAAGTGTGATGATAATAATGATTAATGAATCATTTGTTTTAGTATTTTGCTATATAAATTATATTTTTATATCAATTGGTTAATTAACAATAAAAGTAAATATATTTGAATAAATATAAAAATGTTTTTTTTTTGTATATTTTAAATTGAGAAAATTATCATTATCTTTATTATCTACTTTGTATAGCAGCTATTGATTAGAAATACCTTAATCAAAAGCTGTTAAGTAGATTAAGTAAATAATATCAAAAAGCGATGAAAATAGTACACCTTGGAAATAATATAGTGGAAGTGTTTTTCACAGAGCACCAAATGTATTTAAATACTAACTTTACTATGTGAGTAAAATAGTAATATGATGTTCTTGGTAAGCCTAAGATGTAATAATATCAGTACAATGAAAATATAAATATGTTAAATTGATAATTTCGCAATACATTTAAATAAAAATGTATTAAGTAATAATTTGTATATATTGTTTTAGGGACAAAATGGTTTTGAAGATCTAAGGCGGTATATTAAACAAGGGGGAGATTTTTGTAAAGAATTGTCATATATTCTGCAGGAACGGTAATTGAATTTAGACAGTTAAATTATAAATTTTGACTAATAAATATTCTATGAATGTTGCAGCTCAGAAGCTGAGATTCAGTATTCGAAAAGTTTATCGAAACTCAGCGGGAAATTGTCCCGAATTTGCCGTGAAGGTGTTGGTGGGTTGAACGAAGCATGGAAGAGTATAGCTTTAGAATTGGAGACTAGGGCGGAAGCACACTGGCAGATTGGAAACAGTCTACTGGAGGAAACGGCGAAACCTTTGAGAAATCTCACAGAAAATCAGCACAAATCTAGAAAAAGTGGAGAAACTGTTGTTGATAAATCTGCTAAAACTTTGGCGGACTGGAGAGCAGCTGAAGCCAAAAGCAAGAAGCACAGCCATGCTTGCGCCAGGGATAACGAAAAGTTACAGGACGTAATGATAGAAAATAGGTAAGTTTTTATTAAGCGAGTCACGATTGATTAAGATTCTCATTTATTTTAATGTGAACGATTTGAATGACTCATTGCCACTATTTCTTATTTGTTTTATATCGAAAATAATTGCAAAATATTTCATAAAATTTAAAACAACAATATTTATTGCCATTATACATCTAAAAAGTCATAATTTTAATTTTTTAATCAATGTTATTTATTTTATAGACTATCCAGAAGCACAAGTGTAATACAGCTTCCAAATATAAATAAGCACAATACAGATAAAGACAATGCAAAGGTGAGCAAATATTTGAAATCAGTCCATTCTTGTGCATTAATAACATCTATTGTTGCAGCTTGAGGGAAAGAAAAGAAAGGCGGAAGAGGCGGTCAAGAAAGCAGACATAGAATATTATTCGCATTGTGTCGGATCTGAGAGAGCAAGGTAATTTATTTGCAACATGATTTTAACATCCAAGTTCATGCTTATATTCACTTTAATGTCTTTATTTTTTTAAATTATTTATTGATCTGTTGGAAATATAGACTAGAATGGGAATCGGCTGTATCCCGTGGCGCTATCACCTTTCAAGCTCTCGAAGAAGAAAGACTCAACAACCTCAAATCGATCTTATCGTGTTATCTCAATCATAGTACTACCCTAACGCCCAAACTCACAGATGTAAGTAGTTTGTTAATTTATGCTAACATATATTACCCAATACTAGTATAAATAGAATATTTTGTTAGTTATACAATATAGCTAATCGTATAGGGTCTTACATTGGAAAAATCTGTCAATATTATTTTTAGATTTGACCCGTTTTTGCTTATTTAAAAAAGCCGAATTTGTACATAAATAATAGAATGTTAGTAGTGATTAAATTTTATATAATTGTAGTAATGATATGTCATTTGAAAGCATATTTCATTAATAGATCAATTAGAAATACCAATTAGGCTAACGACGAAACGGTAAATTCTAATTATAAATTATAAAAAATATATCATTTTTTTTCTTAACAATAATTTATTTGCAATTAATAGATTACAAATAAAATTCGTGGACCAATTGAGAGTGCAGAAGCGTCGAAAGATTTATCAACCTTTCTAAGCTTAAGACAGTCTTCACAACAAACAGCAGAACAATTGCTGCCCGATTTTTACTGTGAACACATTACACTAGCGATGAACAGAGAAAGGCGGAAACAGGTGAGTCCTTATTTCACGAATCATTTTTTTTAATTTAATAAAATAAATGTACTTTATAGGCGCTTATTAAATTACTACAATCGATACAATCGGATATAGAACGTGAGACGAAGTCCAAAGATGGTCTCGAGAATCTCTCGAAAGCCATCAGGCATCAGCCCAATTTTGGGTCGGAGGATTCTCAGCAAACAGTAAATGAAAAATTGTATCACGTAAGCGATCTATTTAATATCCATTTAATTGGGATACATTGTATATTCAATTACGATTATTTGCAGATGAAATCTATGCTGCAATATTTAGAAGGGGCAAAGTATAAAGTTCACAATGCATTGGCGGAATTGGATTGCAAACCGCGAGATGTTCATCCTCTGGCTGCTCACATAACAGTAACCAGGGATAAGGCTGGATTGCAACAGAGCATTTTGAAGGTACGTTAGAAAATTTTCGCTCCGTTGGTTCCGTAAATGAAAAGATTCGCTTTTTGTCTAGGTGCCCCAATATTTGCGGGAACAATGGATAACCGCGGACAAAAGCCAGGTCTGCGAGAAACGTGACGATTTGGATTCGGATACCGAGTCGAATTGGATTGACAGAGGAACGGCTGATGGGAATTCTAATCAACCAGACTCCGATTTCGGTACATATATAAATTGAAGTACTTTCTCCAATCTGAACCAATAAATGTTTTGTTATTTAGATGAATTCTCGTCGCAAGGCAGCAGCATTTGTGAAGGGATCTGCAACACGGAAGAGACTCCTGTACAGCCGATAGCTCAATGCAAAGCGATTTATTCTTACACTCCAAATTTGGCTGATGAATTGGCCATTAGACCCGGGGACATGGTTTCCGTCTATAGGAAGCAAGAAGACGGATGGTGGTTGGGCGAGTGCAACGGTTCAGTGGGCATTTTTCCCGCGACATACGTTGAAACGATGAAATGAAATTACCAAAAAACAAATAATTTTGCAGTACTAAACAGAGGATATAAATTATACTTATATGTGATACTATTTAAAATTATATAAAGATATTTTATGTATGTGCGTGTGTCTGTGTAAGTGTGTGCATGAAAGATAATAAGTAATAAATGTAAATATTTTTAAGTTATATTTATCACAACCTGCAAGGATTTGAATTGATATTTTACTTATAAATGGTATTTATATCAATATTTTTTATATTTATTTTGTCTGTAATAAGATTTCAAAAGAGATTAATTTGTTATTACATATATATTTAAATAATTATTATAAAATCTGCAATATTTTTTAATCAATGAGTTATAACAATAATAACATTTATTACAACAAGTTACTAAATAGTAAGTAAATCACAATCATAAATCCGATTCCCAACAAAATGAAGTTAGATGATTTTTGTTCGCTGTCAGAAATCGCTGTGGATATGTATCATAAAAATCCGATTCGAAAAAGTTGGTTCGCATCTCAAAAACAAAAAAAAATGTGGGGGCCGATAAACCCGAAAGGGGGTAGAAAAATGGCCAAGAGAATTGATATAAATCTCTATAGAAAAAAATAATTCAGAAAGACTAATTTGAAAATAAGTATAAAATCACAATGTATAGCAGTAATTTTCAATCAGTTAAAAAAAGTTGAAAAACAAAATTAAACGTTTACCCAGGATCAGGTCATGAAAAGCTAGATCAAAAAAACAAGTTTTTCTTTTCTTAGATTAGATTCTTTTCTAACGATATCTCAACTGTGAGAAGTGTGAAAATAATGTAATATGTTGAGAAAAGTTACAAAAACTCTGAACTAAATATAATAATAATAATCAAATTTATTCACCAAAAAAAAACGGGCATGCACAATTAGCCCATAAATAAAAAGTAAGTGAAACTATAGTAAATAAACAAGGTAAAAATTATATAAATATATAGACAAATACATAAACACAAAAATATAAAATATATAAAAGAATAGCTGCTGCATAAAATCTTCGATAATTGAGCAAAGGTACGGAGGACCTCCCAGCGAGAGTATCCCGAGGTAAAACCACATGCAGTCGTCTTCTACTCCTCATGTTCAAAATTCCCTCACTAATTAACTTGGATGAGACGTGTGCTCGTCCATTCAAGCCATACACAAAAGGCGCACAGGAGTTCTGAATCTTTTGAATTTGGTAAGCATCCCCATAATTAAATACAGATAAGATAAGAGACTCACACAGAACATATCTCACCTCCCTGCTCAGGACATCACGATGCATATATAGTAGACGCAGACCCGCGAACGCTCTCTTGATCAACAGGGAAGTATACATTTTGAATCTTAAGTCGGGCTCCAGTTCGAAACCCAGATTCCTTAACTCACTCGTGAACCCGACCGTCCCATTGTTCATCACAATTTTCATTCCCTCAATTACTACGCGTCTGGACCTGATAGGTCCAAACACCATTGCAGCAGTTTTAGCATGATTCAGATTTAAACAGTTGGACTCACAGAACCTCTTGATTGCTTGCAAATTCCCATTGATCTTAGATTCAGCGTCTCTCATTCATTTGGGATCAAAAGAAAAATAAATCTGAGTATCATCCGCGTAGAAATGCATTTTGCAGTGAAGGACCACCTTAGGCATCTCTGAGACATATATATTATATAGAAAAGGGACAAGAATTGAACCCTGGGGCAAGCCGGACACAACATTTACAATGCCAGACTTCGATTCTCCAGATCTAACCCTGAGTTCTGCCCCTCAAGAATGAGCACATTAGAGCGCAAGCTGACTGACCAAGACCGAAAAATCTCAAAATGGACATCATCAACTCGTGGTTTATGCTGTCAAATGCCTTACTGTAATCCAGGGCTATCAACACAGTAACCATGCCCATATCCGTTGTATATATGTTTAAAAGAAACTGCATGCAACCACATAAACATATAATATATAAATAGCATAATTGAGAATGCCATAACATAATTTTTTTAAAGCATTGAATAAATCTAACAATGCCAAATGCTTCTGTTTGTAGTAATTATTCATAACAAAATTATTAATACATTTATCTTTAAAAGATATAATGTCAAATATAAAAATTATTGATTATAACAACATTATTCAGTTGTACAGAACTGCAGAGTCCCGGTTTGGAAATTGTTTATATTACTTTCCTATGTTATATGTTACATTTAGTCCCTACTGAGCACGCGGCGGAAACTGGCGAAATTGTGCGCGGCACAAGCTAAGTGAGAAGGGTGGTGGAAGGAAGATGAAGAACAGGATTATTGATCAAACTTTGAAATGTATTGTGTAGTGCAATTTCATTTATTAAGGAAATAGTAAAATATTGTATCAAACGTTGTAAAATTAGTGAATATTTGGACAGAAAGATTTACGGTCAATTGCCCTTTGCAGCAGTTAATTATAAAAGTTACAATGTTTTTATCAAACGACCATGAAAAATTGGTATCAGTACCAAACGATTTAAAACCGGTACATAAAAATTATGATATTTATACCAATTCAGACGAGATTATCAAGGACTATCAATTGGATCCGAATCTCAAGCCGCCGGTATACTTACCTCAACCTGAAGATTATTTCCCAGTTAAACTGAACGACCAATTAACACCTATTGATAACTGGGCTACAGGTCGAGTTGAATATGCATCGATTGCAGGCTTAACTGGCATCAGACCAGTCGTTGATAAACACTCAATTACAAGATTTTGCGAAAGGGAATGGAGACATCATAATAAATATATATTACAAAAATGCGACAACGAAAGAGAAGAAGCCAAAGCTTGCGAATGGAAAGCTTTAAAAAGTGTAGAAGATATCATGACCAATTGTGATCTGAACCAAATAGATAATACTAGAAAATTGAAGCAGAGAGAATTGGAAATTTACAAATGGAAGGAGGAATTTAAAGGTGCAATTTCTGCAATCATAGAAGAAATTGGTCTCATGGAAGTGCAAAGACAAAGATTAAAACAATCAATGGAAATTGTTCTAATTCCAGCTTCGATAGGTATATCTCATATTGCTTATTAATGTGATTAATATAGTTAATGAATTTTTAAATATAGCTGGTGAATGTTTAACGAGACGAACAGGACGTTTAGATCGAGAATTGGTACGAGACCTAGTAGAAGACGAATTGACGAAAGAATTGTCGCTTACTTCATTAATTAAAGATCGTTTTGAAATTATATTACGTGATATCGAAAGCCAACAAGCGTCGAACATAGCTTCAAAAAAAAAAATGGAATATGAATGGAGCGAGAAAAAGCAATCTCATGAAATAGAAGCACACGTTTCATCGTTAAGTAATAGAAGTCGGACAATATTATTCAAATCTGGTACCGCTATTTATCAGAATGGGTATAACATAGATTTACAAAGATAGTATTGAATTCACAAGATTTATTTGTTTCTCAGTCAATCGACGTTGCAGTCTTGGAATAGCTTTGCGATTGAAGTTTTAGCAGAAGCTGAACAAATTCGTAAGAAGTCTGTAATACACAGAGGTACTTTGGATGCAATTTTAATGAACGTAGCAAGGGATTTACGAACTCAAGCTGACAGAGTTGATATGGCAGTTAGGAATAGGGTGACAGCTACTCAAGCAATTAAGCATGAGCTTGAAATGGAAGTTAAAAAGGTTTGTATAAAATAACTTTATTATGCTATTACACCACAGTTACAGTGTGGATAATCGGTTCTGCCAATATCCCGGACGATTTGAAACCGGACTAATTAAAGTAGAAATAAACTACAAATAAAATGTGACTTGACTGCAAAAAACAATCATTTATGAATACGAAAATAATTTTATGTACTAATTTTTTAGAATTTATTTTAATTTTGCTGAATTAACATTTAGGTATTGCTTTATATTGGTGTCAATTATTGCAGGTAATGGCGAAAATAGTTGAAATGGAAAGCCTGATGATCAAAATTAAAGAATATATTTGCAAACTAAACATGCCGATGAAAAATGCCCAGACACGCCTATATATCAGAAGACAAAGACCGATGATCGAAAACGTTCGCGATACTCCACAATATGGGTAAAATTAAGTCGATGCATGAGAAATAAAACATTGTTCACAATTATATGTAAATGTTCTCAATTTTCAGATTGATAGAGGAGATTAAATTTATAAATGAAAGTGTAACCGAGTTGAAAGAGCGATTGAAACAAACGGAGGAAAGTCACAGCTCGTTGATCTTGGCTAGAAATGAATTGGAGAGAGAGATTCTGGTGAAACGAAACACCTTGGAAATAGATGGTGGTATTGTAAAGGAAATTCGATCACATTATCCTTCGACAAATGCACTAACCGGATATGTAGATTGAGGCTACAAAAAAAATATACAATTGCAAAATCTCAATTATTTTTCCGATCTACAGGTTTTTTTTTGAGAGAGAACAATCGACACCGAATCTTTCCGTTATGCAATTACACATTACCATATTCAGTTTGAAATTTAAAAACGAAATAATTATAATATGTATTACACAATTCTCTAGCAATTTCTCTTATTTTATATTCATGTTTGTATTGTACATCTTACGAATTAAAAATAAATATATTAATATAGCGGATACACATGCTTTATGATGAAAGAAAGTTATATTTATGTGTGTTCAATCAATTTCTGAGTTCCAGTTAAATGTATTTGTCAATAGAATAAATATGTATTATGTGTATAGAGTGAGTTTATTTCTTTCTTATTCTATTATATCGAGAAATTTTAATATTATTTGAACGCTTGATGTAATATTTTACCTGGGCATCCAAAATTACTGAGATTTTCTTTTATCGATAAATGGTAAATATTTAATAATAATTTCCAAATTTCTTGAATTGTTCAGTAGAGCATATGTAAGATTGTGAACATTCGTGTCTTGCTGATATTGTTTAGATCAGAATATCCGAATTTATTCCAGCCATTTTGTTCTTGAGAAAACAAAATGCATGTCTAATAAAATAATTTTGATAAATGAGCACATCCATAAATCCATCAATTTGTTTCCTAAATGTCTTTATTAAAATGTTTTTGTTTGAGACAGAATACTTAATATTGGTGTGGGCTTCGGGCTCTTGGCAATAATCTCTTTTTCATTAAACGAGAGAGAAGCAAATCTCCTTCAATTAAACAATTTAAATTAGCCTCAGCAGTCCACCTTTATTAAGAGCCACAATAAATTATCATTTTAACACGCATGTGATGAAACAGTACACTAAAAATACAGTTAAACTAATTCGAGCAGATTAAGCTCTTTTGGAAGGTGTCGAGGTGCAATTATGGGACATTCGTCTGATGGCATTATTGTTGTGTCATCTGCAAATGTGGAATACCCGATTCGATGGAGCTCAGTTTGTGCTTCCTCCAATTTGATAAAAAAAAACTTTAGATTATTTAGGTAGGATTTCAACACTTCATAGAAATTATGTGAAAGTTGCATTTTCAGCTTGTAGAGTAAACCTGTATGCCAAACTTTATCGAAAGCCTGTGACACGTCAAGGCATACAGCTGAATATTATATTTTCTCTTCCAGATCCTGGTCGATGCCAGTAACTAGTCGATTAACTTGTTCTATCGTACTGTGTTCTCTGCAAAATCCAAACTGGTGATCATGGGGATGTTGTGTCTAACCACTAAATTATAGGACTAGAAACCTATAAGACCAATATGTAGAATAGACAGAACCCACGGAAGGCTGTGACCGTTTGTAACGCTTCTTCCTATTTTCAACTGATAACCAAACTGCAGAATAGACAGATCCCACGGAGGACAGTAACCTGAAGCGGGGCGACTTCTCAAAACCGCTTAATACGACGGGTGCTATCGCGTACGAAAATGCAAATTATAAAAAATCTTCAAAGCCCGTTTGGGCGTGAGTTTCTGACGTGGGAAGATTCTAGGCGCCACTTCCTCTTCTAAAGACGAAGAACTCCAAATACTGCTTCCTTATTCTATAGCAGGCTCCTTAACCGTATTCTTTCACGGTTCAGGGTTGGCAAATATATATAAAAATCTTCTCTACTGGAGACCTCAACCGTCTCTCTTCGCGGTTCGATTCGGTCTCCCCGAAATTCTGGAGACATCGTTGCACCGTGGAGCGTTGTTTTCAGTGTTGTCAACTTTACCACGTTACAGTGCGATATGAAAATGCTTTTGACATTTTAAAATTTTAGGGATGCGCCGCATCCACATCATCCATGGACGGACGGCCACTGCTATGTTGAAGCTTTCACAAATTTTAGTAATAATAAACAATATTAATTAAAAAATAAAGTAAAGACACTTTGCAAGTAATTTACATTTTAATTATATATTTCAAACTATAAATTGAAAAATAGTTCCATTCTTAAGAGAAATTTCATTTTCAGGGGCTTTTTTCGAATATTTTTTTATTAAATAAATAAATTTGACTCTGAAGTTGATAGTTTATATTGCTAGAAGAAACACAACTTTGACAAAACGTGTTACGATCAGTAGGATATACCGGAATACTGTGTTTAACAAAAAAAAGCTTTTGTTTCAAAAATGTGATTAACAACCAATCAGTAAATAACTCGTTAGTAACATTTCTATTTGCTTTACATATTACAGGTAAATATATTTTTTTCCTGTGTTTATACTGACCAATTGAATATGTAATAGTAAATGAATATTGCATAATTGATTTATTTATAAAATTAGTTATTAAGAAGAAAAATTTTTTTTTTGCACGAAACAATAAGTAGGAATATTTAACTGATTTGTTTGAATAGTAATTTAAAAGGATCTTTGGCTGAAGGAATAGGTATACCTTGAAAATATAAATTATGTATGCAAGGATTTCATCATTAAGTTTCCTGTCTATGTACAAAATAAAACAAAATGTCATTTAATAATTAATCAATTTGATGTGGAAAAGAACAAGCAAACACACAATTGGAATTGACCTTAGACTTTCTTTCGGCTTTTATGATTCATTGACGAATTAAGGCGGCATCGAACTGTAACGAGGACAATGATGTGTGTCTTTTTTTGTGCAAAGGGTGGGTGCAGCTTATAGAACGGAAATAGCTGCAGAGATTTTTGTTTTATTTTTGTTTTTAACAAAAAGGCTTTCGCCCTCAAGATCGTGCAAACAAATTTTATATGATGCGACCATGACCTTAACTCTATACTAAAAATATTCTTCTCTCGTGTTCGCTTTCTAAAAAGCAAAACTCCGAAAGAAGTGTGTGGATGAGATATTCGAGGTACAATATTCACCCATTCACCTGCCAGTAGTAGGTCGTTCTATGAACCATAAAATCCCCACTAGCGCCAATACATAACGCATTGTCTTTTGGTGGATGCGATGTCTGCATGTAGGAAATTGTTATATTGTTGTGTGTCTGGTGGCATGTGTGTGGTTCATATCACGCTCGGGACTTATTTAGCCATGGTTCTGGCTAGTGTTTAGTGTACACAGTTTAACTTCTCGCTCTTACGAACTACACATTTCTAACATGGGATTAACATTTATCACACAAGTAATGTACAGTTTTCTCTTTCGTTTCTTTTCTTTTTTAATAACTTTAACACCACAGTATTACGCAACTTTTAAATATGCAATTAAATAGTTTGATAGTTTAAAGTTTTCAGTAATAGATTATTATATAATAATAAATTACATGATAAATTATAAATAACATTCTTTATATAATAATTTAAAAATATATAATTGTTAATTTCAAATATTTAAAAGAAATAAATCTAAAATTAAAATTATTTTTGAAAGTGGTATATTTTCATACATTTCGAGATATTTAAGGGTTTTCTTTTGAATTTATTTAAAAACAAAATAATAAATCTGTTAAATTTATGATTATAAACATAAAATATCCTATTTTTCCTCTATATCTTACTAAAATTACCATTAATTCATTTTTTCCAAAAGTTAAATTCATAATGAATTAGAAAATAACAAACACTTTATTATATAATATATCAAATATTGTTAAAATGAATATTTTTTTATGTATAATATTATAGCCATTAGAATTTCATTACTTAATATTTTTTTCTGCTAATATTTATATACAAGTACCGGTTCATATTACTCCTCTATAATAGTTCCAATTTTAGTATATGTATTGCCGATGCAAATACTGTATAATGTGTAGATTATTAAATATTTGTGAAACTTAACTTGTCTTAATCAATTAATTAATGCATATAACATAATTCTTAATATTTTTCTTTGCTAATTACCATCTGCGTCATACGCGTTGCATATTACTACATACATTTAGCGAATATTTATTGTATAACAATATATTAAATGTGAATATTTATGTCACAGCAGTTTTAAATGAGCAAAAAAAAAACTATATTACCATATTATAATACATAAATGGTTAAATATTTAATTCGGCATTCTATGCAATGTCTTAGCAATCCGTAGAATGACGAAAACTTTTAGGCGTTGCCTAGAAAGAGTTGTACATTGTGTATCAAATACTCTTTAATTGAATTGTGCTATATGATGAAAACAAATGCTCCGCATAGTTCCGCTTGGCTCAGTACGGTTTAAAACAAACTAAATTTTAATTGAGCAAAATTAGTAAACAAAAAGATATTTTTATATATAAATTATTAGTTTTTTTCTTCTATACAGTTGTCCCGTTTTCTACCGTTTATGCGGTTTATAGTTCTCAATTAGTTTGGTTTCAAACAGTGCTGGATATTGGCGGCACCGATTACCCGCAATCTACACAAAAACTGATTATTTTTAATTTATATATTTCAGTTCGTATCGATATTTAAGAACTTGATTATGTTATTGGAATATTAATAATTTTACAGATCGCGATCAATTTTTCAGTATAAATTTCAACAACAAACAAGTAATTATACAGAATGCCAGATCTCGTGGACATTTTTTTACAGTCCGATAATATCTTATATAGGAAACTATTCACAATGAATATTTTGGAATGTTCAGACCTAGTTATGCACAATTTTCGTATGATGTAATATGAAAGTAAGAGAGACAAATAAGTCAACCAAATAATATTTGTTAAATGAAAACTTCATTTACTTTTTGATTAAATTGTTTAAATATATTTATGGATTTTGCGTTTTCAAACTATTTTATAATATTTTTTTTTAATTTCTCATTAAAAACTAATGGATATACTTCAGGAATTTATCGAAGTGATCGTGCATAATAAAATGTAGATTACAAAAGATTTATTACAAATACAATATTTATAACATGTTTTCTTCGCGTATTCTTAGCATAAAATAATAATAAATATTTTATCAAGTTACGCACACGCCTTCTTGATTTCATTTCGATTGAAAAATATACGCCTTCTTGTAAATGTATAATGTAAAGTGTGTCGTACTTTGTGTGCAATTGTCCGACAGGTTTCTAACATACTTATTCTTTATTCTTTGCTTTTCGTATGCAATAGGAATGTCAATAAAAGATCGACATAACACGGCGAGGTATTGCTTTCAGGTACTTCTGATACTGATTGCTGCACCGATCTGGGCTCACGGCATATGCTCTTCCGTGTATGGTGCCAAACCATGTCCGTTCATCCCTTCGCCGCCAGGAGAAACACCTCCCTGCGCCAAACCTGGACTCACGTACTGCGAATACCCTGCACACTATCCAAGGTAAGACTGAACAGAAAGAATACGTCCAAAAAAATTACAATTTCCTCAATGTTAATTAGTTAATACATGCAATGTATTCCATGAATAAAAATAAAATTACAAATGCAAATGTTGAGTTCGTGAATAACATTACTAACGTGTATATAAATAATATATATAGCAATATACTACATATTCCAATCAATTTATTTCAACATGCAATAACATCATAAATGCTGCTGTTATTGCAACTATTTCACTATTAATATTTATATAATGCAAACCGCAAATCATGCTCTATTGACTCAATCAATCATATTGCAAAGATTAATGAAGTAATTAAGGATATATATGAAAATACGATAAACAACAGTTATTGCATTTTCATAGTATTATGCAATGTATATTTTTACAATTTATAAAATTAAATCCATACTCAATATATTATCTCCATACAATTAAAATATGAAGCCCATAAATTACTTTTTATAATCCTTTTAATAAATGTATAACCTAAATTCATTAAAACTTAAATAATACATAATTTGTTTGTTACATGTCAATCCAGTTTATTGATATTACTTGATTCAAACAAACATTTGAATTCGATCATAGAAACAACTCTGATTAATATAATTTAATTCACTATATTATGATTGTGAAATATAATTATTTACAAATTAAATATATTTTTTAATCAAAATCACTTTCATTTAATTGTTAAATAAATTATTTTTTCTTTATATTATTATCTATATATAATTTATTTTATTTAATAATCATAATTATATCTGTTAATTCGTAATAATCATACTTTTTTTATATTGAAATGACTAGTGCTGTTGAGCTATGGATATTTTAAACAATTTTTTTTTCAAATAGTTTTCTTTTCCTTTCTTGTAAATAAATAAACAGTTTTTTGATATTTTCTCGCTAATTGCGATGAATTGTATTTTGTATTAAGAAACAATGAGCTTTCACTACTTTAAAATAATCGTATAATTTACAACTGTTCTTTTTTTGTTCAGAAAATGAAATTTATCATTTACTTTCTATAAACTGTTTAGTAACAAAATAATTTACGTTTTACTACTGTGGAATTACTCACTATTGGACATACTTTTAAATTGTATTATACAGAAAAAAGAAACGATTAGAAATCGAAATTACCATTTTTATGGCAGCGTCAATTGAATAATAGATGACACACGAACACAAACATACATAAACCACCTGGTTCGATCGATTAATTCACTAAGTAAATAGGAAACAACAATTTAAAATTAATCTTTGTAACATAGTTTGTTTTTTTAAAAGTTATCAATAACTCTATATTATTATTATTATAATAATATGTAAATGTGTATTAATACGTTATATAGAAAGTAAAAATAATATCTCATTAAATTTTATTTAGAAAGTGCATTGAATATAATGTGAACGTCAATAGTGAAATTAAATATATATAAAGAAATGCCATTATATAATTATGTTATTAAAAAAACAAGTGGTGTATTTATGTATGTAATAAATATACTAACTTAACAAATATAGTTACTATTGGACAGTTCTCTCGTCTGCATTGCATAATAATAGTAACTACATGTTAAGAGCATATCCTCCCAACTGACAACTGGTCTCAGATTTATACTCTTAGAGATTTTATGCAATTTCTTGTATATACTATTTTTTATTTTTCAAAAATGTTATTTATTTACTTATTAGCACAGATGCATAAATGTTAACGATCAAAGACTTTCCGCCAGCTAAAATATTATTAATTACATTATGTTTCAGGGAGTTGGTGTATCATTTAATAGAGAGTTGGAAATTTGATCATAAATCTTTACTGATTGATGAAAGTCATCGCGAGATTGGAAACTATTTTATGTCAAGTGATTCGAAATACGGTTTTGGATCATACGGATCAACGCAAAATAACATTCAGCCTAATGAAGCATATTATCCGGATTTAACTTATAGACAAAACCCACAAACGAGTTATACGCCCAATAACAACTACCCATCAAATACATATATACCAAGTCCAATAAATTATACGCAATATCAACAGTACAACGTACCGGCGCAAGAAGGCTACAAGTATCCAAATAATTATGCACAGAACAGCAACAGATACAATGAACAGCAGTATTACAAATCAGTAACACTGGCCGATCTCAACAGACATCCTTTGAATCCTTTCATTAAATGGTATGCAAAATATTATTTTTTAATATATTTATTTTTTAATATTAATAATTTACACTAATTTAGGCATGGTAGGAACGAAAAATACTATAAAAGGAAGAGGAGATCTTTGAACAAACTTGCAAGGTGGTCTAACACTAGCACAAATCAAACAGAAACTAGAAATCGAAAAAAACGACAGGGAAACGTAAGTGGTCAAACATTGTGTCAGTCTCGATCGCAATACATAATGCCCAGAGCTGCTCTTAACGATAAAGGAGATTGGATGTACGTAGTCAACTTACCGGAAGTGAATAACAGATATACGCAGCTAGTTAAAAGTGAAATTTGCACGTAAGTTTATCGACTCAGTTTATAAAATATTCATCGGCAAATATATTTATTCGTCTAATGGGATGTGCTTATAAATAATCAATAAGCGAAAATGAGAAGAAAATATGTAAATGTCGCGCTAATTTGAGAAAGCGCATTTTTTATCTACGCGTCGACGTATCATCATCATTGGTTATTGGCGTTACAACATTGAATCACTTTGGAAAAAATATATTTAAACCTTTCAATTGCTTAATTATTGTATGCAATATAATTAACACCACTTAAAATTCAAATTAGTTAATTGCAGAGTCAACTAGCTTGTGTTTTAAGTGTTACAAAGTTATATAACTGCAATGGATGTACACTCGGCAAAGATATTATAATATTTGTTTCATTGGCAGGTCTCAGCAATGTAACGGACTTTGCAGTCTACCAAATGGATATACATCAAAATGCGAACAGAAGTATGTCCAAAAACGACTAGTTGCAGTTGAACCTGGCGGAAGCAACCTGTATTCTGACGTATTTTGGTTCCCAAGTTGCTGTGTTTGCACAATCACTAATAATTAATTGTTACATTAAATTATTGTTTTAGTTTTTTTTTATACTTCTCGAAAAGTTATTTTGTAATAAATTACACACACAAAAATTCTATAGAATATTAGTATTAGAAAATAAATATACATTTTCTTGTACAATTTCCAAGCGTTATTACATCTAATTTTTTATACGATTATTATAAAACTTAACAACTAAAACAGTAACAACTTTCCATTTCCCTCAAGAAATAAATTATTAACTACCGAGACCGGTCATTTGGATTTGTTTCCGACTATACATTCGGAACAAAATAAATAATTTATGTGAGTATGGCATGATCAAAAGTAGATTAAGTATCTTTCTTAGGAGATTACTATTAAACTCCGAAAGGAAAAAAAAATATAAATAGATCTATTGAAAGTCATGTTGTCACATTGTAGAAAGGAAAGATGCAATTTGATTCCTGTTATCTAAATTCCAAATGTGTTATTAAGGGAAATTAAATTTATGATACAAATATACAAGGTAGGACAATTAGCGTAGCTGAGAAGATTGGAATGTAAGAAACTGGACGTTATATAAATACACGAATTAAAGAAATATATATAAACAAAGATCAAATATAAATTATTAATAAAAGTAACTCGACTGATGAGATCAATATTCACGAAGATCGCCAAAAAGTGTGATTGCGTGAATCTTGTCGTGGTTTATTGTTACTTAATTTTGGTCAATCTGGAAAATTACATATACGTCATGTGCAAAAGATAACAAAAACGAAACAGGTATTTGTCATATATTATTATTATTAATAACAACCCGTTTTACCAGCCAATATTTGATGACAGAAATATTTGATAAGAAATCTTTTGAATGGAAAATTATTTCGTCTGTCCCCAACAATTTTGTTCTTTAATAGAACGTCAATAAGTAATTTAGAAAAAAAATATCTTTGATTTTGGAACTATATGGTTAAACGATTTTATCAATTTAAATAATGTGCTATCAAAAGTCTTTTTGATATAAATATTGAGATTTAGTTTTTAGAACATGAAATTAATATTTGATAGTTTAAATTTTGTCATAGTACAAATTAACCAGATTGATGTAAAGTATGTTGAAATGGTATCTGGTCATTTACAACTATGGTATGAGGCCAAAGAGGTTTTAAAAAGTATGAAATTTATTAATAATACGGCAATAAATAAACGGCGTCGACAGGACCCAGCTAAATGTAGAGGATTTTCCAAATTGTCAGAAGAATTTCTATTTATTAATATGTTTTCATAATATTAATTTATTACACGTTTATTGAAATTAACAAGGCTTAGACAAGCTATTTTCACTATAAGGAGTGAACTAAATTCCATTATTTCTTAGAGATTATATTATGGGTTTAGTTTGTAGAAAAAAAATAGTATCAGAAGAAACAGTTGTTTATTATAATTTCAATCATAATACTACTTTTTGAAGCATCAATGAAATAAGCTTAATATAAGTTTTAACATCCTCCCAATTCACAATTAAGGTCTCATCATTCAATGTATATTTTACATTTTTAGTTAATAAATTGTTCCTCATACATTAATAATATGACACACATCATATAGAGCAGAGATCCCCAACACTGCCCGCTGGCACCATGGCGCCCGCCGACCGTTTTACGTGTGCCCGCCGCTGTGCGGAATTAAATTTTATTGTGTATGATTGACTATGTCAACTATAAATTTACCTTGAATGTGCTCTTCAGTGCAAAAAGGTTGGGGTCCCCTGATATAAAGGAACAATTTCACAATTGCCAATTCTTATAATATTTGCCTTAGGTATTCATCATATATTAACGTAACTAGTCTATCTACAATATTACAGTATTCATAAATGTGCTGTTTCAGTTTATTGAAGATATTATCATTTAAACCAAGATCGATTCTAATTTGACTATCAAATCTCGTAAGTGGTTGATTCTGATGGTAACTTAAAAATATTTGATAAGAATGTATAGCATATCTTACTTTGCTTAAATATACCAAGCGCTAATAACTTATCATTGTAAGTATAAGATTCTCCCTTTTTTTCATGTCAACATTGGATATTTGAAATCTGACAAAATTTTGAACTGTGGAAATGTTACTTACTTGCTTCTGTTTACTTCTGTTCTTCACAATGGCGAAATGGGCGAAATAAGACAAAAGATTTGAAAGTTTTATTATCGCAAAGTAAACATTTGAAACAGTTACCATCGGAACTGATCAGTTCCGAATTCAACTGATTTTGGTTGAAAAATCTTCTTCTCTCCACCAATGTAAATATATATATATACATATAAATAATTCATTGCGCGTGCGTGTGCTGTATAGTTATTTTTCGTTTTTACGTTGGCAAAGAGAATCCCCGTATGTGGCATCACTTCATAGCACTTGATAGCAACTTCAACTTGCGAGCAATTAATGGCATGTGGGGGTATACTGATTTTGACAAATGTAAACATAACCTCATATAATGCAAGTGTATGTATTCAACTGACACGTGCTTTTAAGAATGAAAAATTGATTATTTATGTAAACTATACATATTAAAAATAATTATTTCAACATGCCTAAAGTAAAAGTTGAGAAAAAATCCAGAATTCACAATGAAGTGGCCAAACAAGGTATTTGTATTATTATTTAATTCATTCTCATTTTTTTTCTAAATTTTACTTGTAGGTATTATGTTCAATAAGGATTTTGGTCAACATATCCTCAAAAACCCGATGGTCATTACAAACATGTTAGAAAAGGCTGGCCTGAGACCTACTGATATTGTTTTGGAAATTGGTCCTGGTACTGGTAATATGACAATGAAAATGTTGGAACAAGTGAAGCAAGTAGTAGCATGTGAAATTGATACAAGGTAATAGATTTCCTAGAGTATTGTTTAATTACTTATTTATATAACTTTTAGGCTTGTTGCTGAATTACAGAAAAGAGTACAATGCACACCATATCAATCAAAATTAAAAATTATGATTGGCGATGTACTAAAAACGGAATTACCTTTTTTTAATTTATGTGTAGCCAATATTCCATATCAAATTTCATCACCTTTAGTTTTCAAACTGTTGTTGCATCGGCCTTTTTTTAGATGTGCTGTGCTTATGTTCCAACTTGAATTTGCACAACGACTTGTTGCTAAACCAGGGGAGAAGTTGTACTGCAGATTATCAATTAATACACAATTGCTCTCCAGAGTTGACATGCTAATGAAGGTTGGTATTTAAATTTGGTGTGGAAAAACAATCTATGTTCATCTTTTAGGTAGGTAAAAATAATTTCCGACCACCACCAAAAGTTGAATCTGCAGTAGTTCGAATTGAACCAAGGAACCCACCACCACCTATACAATATACAGAATGGGATGGACTAACAAGAATTGCGTTCACCAGGAAAAACAAAACTTTGGGTGGCGCATTTAGGCAAACTTCAGTTCTAGCAACATTGGATAAAAATTACAAAATTCATTGTAGTCTTCAAAATAAGGTATGTGAATTGTACTTTTGTGTATATGTAAAGTTAACAATATATGTTAAAGGAAATTCCAAGTGATTTTTCAATAAAAGCTAAAGTTGAAGAAATTCTAATTGACGTGCAGGCTGAACAGAAACGAGCACGGACAATGGACATAGATGATTTTATGGAGTAAGTATTTCTATAATAATTTGTATAGGTCTGAAATACTTATTATGTTTGCTTCTTCTTTTCAGAGTTCTTCATGCTTTTAACAAAGAAGGAATTCATTTCTCGTAAATAATTATTTATTGTTATTTTAATTCAGAATACTATATAATAAACCGTTTTGTATATAGCTACACTTTTTTCATATTCTATAAATTACTGTTTCATATTTTCATAGAATGCTATTCTATTTTGAGCATTTGGCCATATATGATTTTCATCTGCAAAAATATACTTTCAAATATTTTTAATAATAATTACCACACTATACAAACCTTCATTGCATTCTTCTTCGTCACTTTGATTACTTGATTCAACCTACAAAAATATATATATTACTTCTATTAAATTATATATAATATTTATATTACCGTGGTACTTCTGTTTTGAAGTGTTTCAGAAAGTTTCATAACATTTTTAAAATCTATTCCAGTATTTGTTAGAAATATATCAGCTGCATAGTCTAGTGACAAATTATTTAAATCTTTGTTGAAGGAATTTGATGTTGTTTCATCAGTTTCATTAAATTGATTAGGTGCTGAATTAACTTCATTTATATCAACTGACTTAGTTTCTTGTGCTTGTTCATTTTTTAAGTCACTTCTGTTTTGAAATGTTTCAGAAAGTTTCATAACATTTTTAAAATCTATTCCAGTATTTGTTAGAAATATATCAGTTGCATATTCTAGTGACAAATTATCTATATCTTTGTTGAAGGAATTTGATGTTGTTGTTTCATCAGTTTCATTAATTTGATTAGGTGCTGAATTTACTTCATTTATGTTGACTGACTTAGTTTCTTGTGCTTGTTTAGCAACTTGATCAATTTTTAAGTCAGTAGATTCAACCTGTTTATGCACAATTTGATTTTTGTTAAAGCTGTAACTTTTAACAAATCTTTCATATTTTTTGTTCTGTGTTTCTAATTGCGGAGCTTTCCAATTTGGAGAATTACTAGATTTTAAAGTGATTTCTTTACCAAGCTTATCATTATGGGATATGCTGTTATTGCTATCTACAGTCAATGAATTAGCTTTTTTGATTGGAGATCTAATAAACAATGGGGTTTCTTGAACACTGTTGCTTCTTCCATTGCTAGTTAATTGCGGAGCTTCCTTTACTACTTTTTCTTGTGAAAAATTCAAACCAGACGTGGATGGTAAATCAATAGATATATAATTTGTGTTCGGCACGATAGTATTAGTATCATCCAGTATCGTTTTTTGATACATGTTCTCATTTAAGTTAATTCTGTCAGGTTTACTTTTTGCGTTGTTATTGATCTGTTGATTGGTATCAAATATTTCATTATCATTTAATTGATGACTTGTTGATAATGATTTTGTTATTTCATCAACTGAGTTTCCTTGAAATTCTGTGTCATCAAATGAACACAAATCATTTGAAATCCACCTTTTAAAATTACACTGGTGTAGATTAGATAAATTCCGAGGTTTGTTGATCACCGGCGTACATTCTTTAACAACCGATTGTGAATCTAGGTATTCTTTAGAATTTTCTTTTGTTTCAAGAGAATTTGGTTCTGATTCATTTATTTCTACAACTGCGGGCACTGCTTTAACAATAATACCTTCTTCGTCTGTAGAAATGCTTCTAGGAAATAGCTAGAAGATAATGAATTGTCGATTTGGGATGCATACGTAGTATACAAATTATACTTACATTTTCATCTTCTAGTGTTTTAGTCTTTGCACCATGTGAACATGCAGCGTCTCTAATTATTTGATTGCGTTTTGATCTAAATTTAATATTAATAAATTTATATGTATTAATTAAATATTAATAACTATTTTTTTTAATAATTTCATACTTACATTGGTCGCTTTTTTTGTTCACTAAGTAAAATATCAAAATACGTTTGGGCCATGGTACTTTTGTGCGTGTTTCGCTCTCAATTAAATCACATTTCACAAATGTGTGCATTGTTTCTCTTTATCGTAAAAAAATCTTAAAGTATATAGATAAAAAGGTAATGCATTAATTAAAAAACAAGAATTAGATTAATTTATCAACCTTTCGCCAAATGTGATCCGATAAGATTGACGTATTTATAAAAATCAATTTTAATTATGTGCCAATACAATACTACGATATTATTATCAACAATCCCATGCAATGGTTAATTTAAATTTATAACAAACATATTTTTATTGTGTATTCTTTAACCCATACTGTATATGATATTTTGACCATAACAATACATATATTTTCTATAATATAAGGCAATAGTGTTTATAGAAAAATCGACTTTTTTTAAAATATTTATAACTAATTTTGAAAACTTTTCAATTTATTTAATAATAAAAATTTCAAAACATAACGGTATAAAACCTTCCAAAGTCTACTCAAAACTAAATTTTAAAAATGCTAGAATATCACATAAAACTATAAAAATAATAAAATTCGCTCCAAAGAAAACTAAAGAGCCAATAACAACGAATTAAATTTGAAAATGCACACAAAATTGCCAGAAATTAAAAAAAAACTGCTTTGCAACTAAGCAACTAAATATTTTCGTTCTTCTCTTTGCTTTCTTATACAAAAAAATATATTATGCTCCAATTTTTTTCATCATAGCAGATAAAACTATAACAGCTCACAGACTTGTGTTGATATTTTTAATCAAATAATTAATTGTTATATTGTATGTTTACACTGATTTTAGAATGATATGCATTTCTTTAAAAATTGATTGAAGCAAAAATTATCGTCACTACCAAAACGGTGGTGTTACTTTTGCTATTCTTTTTATATGTATGTACTTCTTAATGACTTAGTACCAATCACACTTAAAAATATTCCACAATTAATCATTGTGTAAGAATTATTGTACATCTAATATATACATCACTTAATAATTAAGTTGAATCGCTCAAATACATTTTGGAATTTAATACTAATAATGTTGTTAAGTAACTACAGAATGGATCTCTATCAAAATCCCGACAAAATTATTAGTTTACCCATTTTGTATTAGTCTGCTACTTTGGCTGCATAACCATATAATAACAAAGAATGATTTCGTTCCAATAGTACCAGTTCCTCCGATCCGTATCGAATGTTCTCTAAGCCACTGGTCTCATTTGCAGAGTCCTCGGCCTGGTCCTTCCTTACGACGAATCCGAATATCTACCGCAACTGTGGCATATGGCGTCGACAAGACGCAACTAAATGTAGAGGAGCTCTATCAGACTGGGGTTTATTAAAAAGAAGAGAAGTACCACTGTTCATTCAAGCTGCTGAAAGCAAAAATCCAGATTTCACTCTCGTATTTATGTCTGTTTTGAAACTAGTAAAATTGTGCTGTGCTCTGGCGTGAATGCGTGGTTGCATAACTCTTTGTGTAAATCAAAACAAAAAATATCTAAATATTTAGGTTACTTTTTTGAATCCAAGTGAAATAAAATAAATAGAAATGGCTAGTAATTCAGATTCGGATTCAAGTGATTTAGATAAATTCATTTGTAACGGAATCAAAAAATTCAAAAACAACTATACTCAGAAAAATACATCCGATGTGGATTCTGATGATCCCTTATTAAATGAAGGTACGCAAAAGAAAGTTACAAGATCTTCATCCAAACTTACCATCAAAGATATTGATTCAGACAATCCAGTGCAGTGTAATGACTCAAAGAAAGATGAAGTAGTGCAACATTCTAGTGATAACAATAAAAGTGCAATTCATGCAACTAGTACAGAACTACTAAATGCCCGTCTAGATAAATTGATACATGAATGTAATGTAATTGCATCAACAAGCAAGAAGAAAAGGTGCAGAAAGAAGGCTCCATCAAAACGCCAAGCAAATACTACAAACACTAACATATATGAAGTTTCAACAGATGATGAAATATTAGAAGTCAAAGAAGATATAAATCCAATAGTTTCTATCAAAATATTGTGGAAATCCATAGAATATAAGGTTTTTAAAGTAAAGAAATTTGATAAACTTCAAGTTATACTTGACTATTTTGTTAATAAATGCAATATTGATGAGAAATTACTTTTGTTTACAATAGATGATAAAGAAGTAGATTTGAAATGTAATACTTCAATGTCACTTCAATTGAAGGAAAATCAAATTATTGAAGGAGGCATATTACCAGAAGAATATTTAACTAGAACTGTTATTGATAATACAAAAAATACAAATGGAATAAAGTTTAAAGTACAATGCATTAATAATAAAACATTTCATATTGTTATAAGGCCAGAGGATAATATGGATATACTGTACTCTCAGGTAATTAAGGAAACAGATTTGTCTATTGATAAATTCAAAATACTATTTGATGGTGTAATTGTGAAACATGCTGATACAATTGACTCATTGGGACTAGAGGAAGGTGATTTATTTGATGTAACATTATTATAATTTTTTTTTTATAAATCTTAAAATGTTTTTATTAATTTGGCACTGACATTTTACTTATTCTCAATATAAAATCTAGAAGATGCATTTGTACTTTTATTTCTAAACTGTTTGTTGTTATATAAAATCCTGGAACTCCAGCAGTTTCAAGTGTATTTTGTTGATCAGCCACCTAAAATTATATATATATATATTGTAAATATTTTCGTTAATATTCTTGTAAAATAAAAATAAATATATTGAAAGACTGTGTTGGTATTGATCCAACTAGTCAACCCCTCAAGGGCAGTGCAGTATTGATTCCTAACTTCCCCCACTCTATGAACCACTTTGAACATCAGCCAACCATGTTTATATAACTTCCTTTTGAGACCCAACAGGAAAGTGATAACCTAAAATCTTACCTTTTCATCTAACTGAAGAACTAGAGACATGTCAAACTGTTTCAAATCATTCTTTTGTGTATCCTTTAATTCATTCAAAAGTGCTACCTTCTGTTCTGCCCCAATATCCTTTCTGCTGAGAATCTCCTGTTCATCAACTTGAAGAAAAAAAGTATTCAATAAAAGAGATATGATAAATGCATTAATGCATGAAATGTAGTAGATAAAAACAATCCAGTTTTGAGAAATAATAAATCAATACAGCTGTGATATATTTAAATGCTTGTGTTCAAATTATAAATGTATGTGTTTTAAACATAATTAAGTGTTTGGTGATATACAAGTAATAATAATAATAAAAAAAATAATACACTTATAAAGTCTCAAAAAATCTTTACAGTTGCCATGGCAATAATGGCTTAACCACTAAATACACACATAGAATTGTTTTGAAACATGCTTGCAATAGAAATTTAAATATTAGTGTAGTTTTCTAATACATAGTGCAGTGAAAAATTATCATGCAAATTTAGGAATATTAAAGTGACAATATTTAATTTATAAATTATATATATACATATAAAAGGTGAGTTTAACCTACTTTTTTGCTTGTTTATGAATTGCAATCTTTGTTGCAACAAATGTTGCTCTGTTACATGCTGGATTTCCATGAGACCTTTTGCAATCTCAAAAATGGTATCATTTAATAAATAATTTGCTAAACTGCATAACAGCTCATAAGGAATCCTCATTTGGTATTTACTTTAAAAAAATATACGAATTTATGAATATTCCAGAGCATAAACATTTATATCATAAATAAACTTACGGTGGTAAATCTCTTGCCATGTTTTGTAGTTGCTCCACAAGGAAGTACAATTTCTTTTGGATATCTTCACCACCCTCCATCTATATTAGTATGCAAGACAAGTTTTTATTTATATACTTATTATTTTATTTCAAATATCTAACTAATTATAGAGGTACTGAATTCAGATCGAAGTAAACATACATGAAAAAGTATCTAAACTAAACTGTCAAACTGCTTTCTAAAAACATGCAACGTCTCGTGGGTTGCCTAACATGATATTTAGTCCGCTATTTTTTTTTTTATTTTGTAGTGTTTGCATTTGTTGGACTTCAATTTCATAGCCTTCTTGGTAAGTCGGTTCTACGATTATAGTCATTTAAATGTTGTTGATTTGATCTCACAAGTTAGTTATGGAACACATACATATTGAAGCGTTTCATATCGATAGTAATGTTTTTGTTTACATATTAATTTATATCAATGAATAAAACAGATAAGTTCCAAATGTTCCATTTACTAATGCTATAATTTAGAGCTAGCTAGTTTTAGTGAATCAGTTTGATTGATACATTGTAACATTTTCGAAAGATAGCAATTGACTGATTTTGTATACTAAATAAATATGTATATAATCGGTAATCTATAAATAAATATGGTTTGTTAAACACACTGTCCCACTGGCGATTAAACATTGAAACATTCATTTGAAAATTTGAAGTAGTTTTCTGTATTTTTGATCACTAATCGTTGACCTCAAATAGTGTTATACAAAGGCTTGATTAGAAATCGTGAGTATAGAAAAGTGACTGCAGGAAACTTGCTGGTTCATATGTACTTTCTGATACGCACACGTTAGTCGCATGTAGGCTAGCTCCTGCTTAAATATATATCGCGTCGAGTTATATTTATATCAGTCTTGTATATACAATTCAATAACATTGTAATAGTCAAGGATCTATACAATTAGATTAACGTGACCTATCTCAAGCGTCGAATTGATATGTAATTGTGCCATTTTCTTCTATTCATTTAACAAAATTGGCGCAAACTCCTTCAAATACCATTAATTTTAGGTGAGTAGAACAATGAAAATATATTATTGCTGAAAATTAAGTTTTTGATAAAAAAAATCGGTAGTATATTTTGTTTTCTTAAACCTAATACAATAAATACGCTATATACCTAAAAATATGTCCTTTCAATATGTTAAGAAATGTGTTTAGTTTAATGAAAAAAACAAAATATAATTAGGAGTATCTATATTATTTTTTATATTCAGTATGTACAAAGTCCAAATAGTTAATTAGAGACATGCTTAAATTAAGATATTTGTAAAAAGCGTTAATAGGAGTATAAATAAAATATATTACATTCAAGTATGGCTAATGAAAAGTAATCAAAACTAATTGTGGTATTGTTGTAAAGTAGTTATCAATCTATCTCTGAATAAAAAAATACTCATAGAAAAAGTTTAAATGGGAAACAATCGAAAGTCTTATCTAAAAAAAACCTTGAATTTAAATTCATGTATATTAATAACAACATCCTGATTGATTGTGATCAGTTATAATAAATATTGAACACTGTTTTTAATATTTTATTTCAGTTTGGGAATATAGTATAGCATCATGGAGGTCAAATTGAAACTACGAAAGATTATGTATCTTTGTTTCGCGATTTCCTTCTTCGTGAGTGCTGTTGTATCCTGTGGAATTTGCATGACGGCAATATTGGTATTCGTTTGGCCCTTCAACAAGAAAATGTACAGAAAACTTACATCGTATTTAGGATACACCATGTTTGCACGTAAGTTTCAACAGATGATAAAATACTTTAGTCCATTTATTTTTAATATAAATGTACATATAACAATTGTCAACAATTTTTCAATTTATTTTGTAAATAATGAAATCTCATTATTTCGGTTTGCTGGCAATTCGTTTTTTCCCTTTTAAATAGATCAAATTTCGTCGAGGTCATTCATACTTTTAAGTCCCATTTACTTAAATTTGATATAACTGCGCTTTTCTATGTTCATGGAAACCAATTACCAACACGAATACGAAGAAGAAATAATGTGTTTTTTATAGCTAAGAGTAATGGAAAGAACAATGAAATGTTAGTACAATCTGACACGAGAATTGAAAAATGCGCATGTATAGCCTCAATGACCTGATCATTGATAATGTCATATGCATGATATATTCACTCTTCTTTTTTTAAATTAAAAATATGGATGCAACTTGCAATTACATTAATCGCTTTAATTTACAGAGGCTGTTTTTATGTTACGTTGGTGGGCTACAACTGACCTCAAGTTGTATGTAGATAAGGAGGTTTATATGAAATATTTGGGCAAAGAGCATTCGCTGTGTATTTTGAATCATAGCGGAGAATTGGATTGGATTATTGTTTCGTCTTTATTAGACAAATTCAATATTTTAGGGGTAATTATTTTGAAATAAATAGTAGATTATTTTGAAAAAAAAAAAAATGTTTTAATCTGTATTATTCACAGAATGTAAAGGCTTATATGAAAAATGCTGTGAAATTCATACCATTTGTGGGATGGGGCTTTTACTGCTGCGAGTTTATTTACTTATCTAGGTCCTATGAGAAAGATAAGATTATTTTAGAAAAGTCTGCCCGAAATCTATCCGAATATGAAGATCCGATATCGGTGAGTAATTATTAAGTTTTTTTTTCTTACGTTTAATAGAATGTTTTAGATTCTTTTATTCCCGGAAGGTACTAGGTTCAGTCCAAAGAAACATGAAGCTGCTTTGAAGTTCTCTAGAGAAAGAGGATTGAGAGAGCTTAAGCACCATTTGGTTCCACGCACGAAAGGCTTCACGACAAGCGTGCCTTATATGAGGGGCAAAATCCCAGCTGTCTACGATATTGAAATTGCCTTCGATGGAGTCAAACCAACAATCACAAACATGATCAAGGCCAGAAGATTTATTGTCCACATGTACATTAGACGGATCCCCATGGAGGAAATTCCGGAAACGGAAAAGGATCAAGAAGTATATTTACATGATATGTTTTATCGGAAGGTAACGTAAATGCTGATATCTGTAGTGAATACATAAAAAAAATTAAATATATTATATTGCAGGACAAATTGATCGACAGTTTTAGAAATACTGGAGATTTCTTTAAAGAGTCTGGAATTGAACGTTACGAGCCAATTACTATGGAACCACACATAAATTCACTCTATAACTCAATATTTTGGTTTATATTTTCATTATCGCCGATCATCTATTTTCTTATCAAACTATTTCTGAATGGTCAGTTCTTATACATTTGTCTATTCGTAGCTGCAATTGGATTTAGTAAGTCGTTTTAACAAAGTTATTTTATTCAGTTTTATCTAATGTATATTTTAGGTTTTAACGTACTTAATAAAAGTGTGGACAACATGGAAGTTAAGGACACTAAGGTCAAAAATAACAATATGGAAGTAAAAGCCAAAGCCAAATAAAACGTTTTAAACAATATAAAAACATTCTGTCCAAAAAAAATAATTCAAGAAGTAAAATTAAAACAATAAACTTACTGATATTACAGGAAAACCAAATATAATTTAAGTTTAATTATTTTTCGATTTGTTACAATTATATAATCGATACATTTTCAATTTGAGTTTTCACGTAACACTTTATTGTATTAAAAATATGTAGTATGTGAGGAATTGAAGTTATTTAGTTTCTAATGCATATTTTCCGTGTAGAAACATTTATGATTTTATTTATTAGGTATAAATATATTGTGTACTTATCGACTATATATCAATATAGTTTTTACTTACTTAATATTTTTTAAAATAAATACAATATTAATTTAATATAATATTAAGTACTACACTATTTTTAATATTTTCTTATATCTTTATTTGTATTATAATTCTATAATTTAGTTAATCATGGTTGTTGAACAATAAATATATAAAAGATTGCAATATTTATTCCGTAACTGAACCAAAATTATCATTTTCCAAACAAATGCTAACCTTTTACAATTGCAAGTAATAATAAAATTGATATACGAATGTTTTCTATTAAAAAAACGATTCAGCAACAAATTGAGCTCGGAAACCAAAGTACTGTATATGTTTGTACCATGGTGACATCTATGGTTAAAAACAACAAATAGTATTATAAACAATGGGATTGCATACTTGTATTTATTAGTATATTGTTAGTCATCAAAATAAATCTATCGGGAATTATAAAAACGATATAGTTCTTCAAAATGCATTATTCGTTATTACTGCTTATTATGTTAAATGCAATTAGGAGAAGGTTAGTTTTCATTGCAAGATGTTTATAAATTAATTATTATCCTGTGTGCAGTAGTCAGACTGATGGTAATAATACATCTGTAAACTGTACAGAGTATAAAAACAATTTTGCGGCTTACATATCGAATTTCACTGAATGTGCTATAGTACATGCCCGACCAATTACCTTTTGTGAATCATGTGTTGATAAATACATAAATGTCCTACAAAGTTATCACAATTTATCAACAGTAAGTAAAATTTATTAATACTGCAATCAGTGTAATACATATGTATTTAGTTTTCAGATGAAGCAGGAATATGTATAAATGATTATATTAATTTAGATAGACTACAAATTATAGACACTTTATATCACAACAGTTTTGATCTTTGGAATAGAGCAAAGTGTTATGGTATGCAAGTTCCCCTGTTTTTTAAGCAATCTAAACTATTTATACTTTTCAGAATGTTTTGTGATGATCAATGACACAATAACAAACATGCCTTCAGAGGAAACAACAAAATTCAATATTTTATTAAATGATACATCAAATTGCATGCAAGCAACATATCAAGATGAAAACATAATGTGTTTTACTTGCATGGATGTTTACTTAGCTCTGAACGAATATTATATAAGTATCAGCAATATAAACGAAAAAATCGGCATGTGCATGGACATTGTTGATTTGGTTAGTTTATTTTTTGGAAACTGAGTTAATATTGCATTACACGAAATATTTTTCAGATGAATAATACTCGTTCTCAATGGAGCCGGCGATGCTGCGAGTATCGTAAACGAAAAGAATATGTTTTTCTTATCTCGACAGGCTTTGCCACCTTCCTTACATTACTTTTTTATATTTTAGCCAAGTTCTGTACAGATATGCGCACACCAGAAATTTTCCAACGTACGTTGTTTTTTATTTATTTATTCACGTGTCATTTCACAATCAATTTTATTTTGCAGAAAGTCGATTTGCAGAATCCTTGAATCAAAACAATGCGACGTAGGTGAAGACTATTTTTTAATGGAGTTAGTTTATTGAAGTTGTAAGCTTGGAGTCTAATTATATTTTATCATTGTTTACATTAATATAAAATTATGATTTATTTTATATTTATAAATGAATATTGCTTTATCTTAACACACAAAGACAAATAAAATATCCTGAAATAGACCATATAAATGAAGAGAGAAAATGGCTTGACTGAATCAAAGCTACACATCTTAAGCTTTAAATTTAGCAAGTTCATATAGTTTTACCTATGCCTTGCCTTTTTGTTATTCTTTTTTGCGCTATTGTTAAAACTCTTCTGTTTTGCAGAAATATCACGTCCAGGACTAGATCTATCTAGTCCATTTTGTGTGCCATTGCTGGTAGGGTTTGTTGAGTGTTTACCAGCCGTTTTAATGCCTGAATCTATGTGATTTGCCAAAACAGGCGCAATATTAGTATCGCTGGAGTCTTCATTAGTTTGTGACTCTGTATCACTGTGTCTATCATCTATAAACAAATATAAAACACATAAATGGATATATTAAGTTTGATAATATTCTACATAATTTATTTCTTATAATATGATATATAATATTTCTCTAAAATATTTATAACAATCATAAATATTAAATCATATATAACTAAAGCTACACTACAATAAGTAAAGAATATAACAAATTTTAAATAAATAACATAATAATTTAACTCTTACTTTTTTCTGGATTAGAATCAACAATTCCACTGACAGCCTGAAATTGTATAGTTATTAAATAAAATGTATAAAAAAATAATGTATATTACTAACGGCCATAGAAGTGATGGAAGACTTTGAAAACAATCTTTCAGCTTCCTTAAACTTTCGATTACGTTTATCAGCTTTAGAATTTGTTGTTTTGTTACTTGACAAGTATCGATCCCATCCTCTAATAATATTTCCATGCAGTTGTGTGTCCTCCAAATAAGATCCTTCAAATGCATATATTTGCTTCTCTAAGTTAGCCAGGGTTTCCTAACAAAAAATATTGAAAATTGAGATTAAAGCTTAACAATATGCATTACTTACAGCAATTTCGGCTTTACGTTTAACCAAGTCAGCAAGTTCATTTCTTGCATCAATTGTTGATACTCCTTTAGAAGACATTTTAAATTGCTCTGATTAACAAAAATATAAACAACCTACAAAATATGTTTGTCAAAATGTAAATCACAAAATACCCATTTTTGAAGTTTGCAGGACTGCCAACTATTAAATAATGAAATATTAATATATTGAAGAAGAATTATAAATAAATGACGTAGCTAAATGCTAAATAGTGGATGCTCTTCCAGAGGGAAGAAGCAGGAGGAAGAAAAAAAATAAATAAATGTAAAAATGTGTACATTGTATACATAAACACTTTGATTATAATTTTTCAAACAAAATGTTTGTTGATTCATAGTTTTCGTGTATACTTTCCGCCATATTTTATTCCTGAATAAGTTTAATGTAATGTTATTCAGTTATCATTACTAGCCATTATTAAAGTTTCAGGTTATGTTGAGAAGATAATATAGTGTAAATTATTGTAAAAAATGGCGAAAAGCAAGTTACTACGTGTAACACAAATTAATGCTGTTTATTTTGATAAGGAAGTCTTTAAGGAATTTAAACACCATCTTGAGGAATGTTTGAAATATTTACCTGTAAGTTAAATTGCAACTGCACCAAATAATATTACTTTGCATTTTCTTTAGCTTTTATTGTTTTATACTCATTGTTCAATCTAAATTTGACTAAATGGTCATATACTTCTAAATATTTACAATTTTTTTGTAGCAATTGCAGCTCTGATTATTCAATTTGTTAAGTTAGATTTTTTCACTTAAATATTTTTTCTATTTAGTCTTATCCAGATTTAAATTTACCAATTTAATTATGAATTTGTATAATATAAGTTCCTTGTTATGATACATATATACATGTGGGTTAATTAGACCAGCGATTCTCAGAATGGGGGTTGAAAACTGGTGACAGGGATATTTTTCTACACATACCCATTCTTTGAAGGGTCCTTTAATTTTTTTAGGGGGGTCGCGAACTAATAAGTTTGAGAAACACTGAATTAGACAGATACTTCAAATTTTCATTCATTTCCAATATGAATAATACATTTTGTTATAAGCGAGTTTCTTAAAATTGTATCTTTAAATTCTTTTAAAGTAGCTAGGATAGAGATTTTTAAAGTGGGGGTCGCAAAAAATACTGTGGGATCGCAGAAAAATTGATGACAGAAGGGACGGTATGTTTTTTTACACATACTATTTTTTCGGGGGGTCCTTTAAATTTTTTCAGTGCAAAAGAGGGTCGCGGACCAAAAAGTTTGAGAAACACTGTAGATAGCTATCACAAATTGACTCATGTTCGTTCAGAAAATACCTACTCTGATACAATGGTTGTCGAACATAATTCCATTATGCCCGCCATACATTTCACGTATCACTAGATCTTACACAAGTTCAATTATATTAAAAGTTTCATGTACATTTGTAATATAAATATATAAATATATATTTTATATATAGAATATAAATAGGTATTGATTATAATATCGTTTAATCCTTTAAGACACCGTATTTTTTTTTTGTAATTTTAGGTCGACGTTACTTCAAAATTTGAACCGGAATTAAACTTCCTGCTACGAATAGGAATTCTAAGTTATTCAATCCTTAATCATAATTGCAGTTTTGGACAAAAGTTACTTTCAATCAAATATGATAACCTATCGTCAACGAAAAAATATTTTTTCGTATTTGCTAATGTGTACAATTACATGAAAGAAAAAATGGAATCATCGACGCCTTCCCATTTTATTAATACATATTTCCACAAAATTGATGTATGTATCCAATTACTAAGATTGATCAACATTTCCTTATTTCTGAGGGGCGGAGAAAAGCCGCAACTGATTGAACGATTCCTTTGTCTAAACCAAGATTTTAGCAAAAATAACGTCCAACGTCATTATGAAGATAAATATATGACAAGAGAATTAATTTGGAATGGATTTATTGAAATTTTGGTGTATTTGCTGCCATTGATTAATTATCAGAAAATGACAAGAATGATGAGACATTGGAACCCTGTACATAAGAAGCCTAAAGTGGCAAATGTGCACAGAAAGTTGACATTGGAAACGAAGTGTGCAGTTTGCGGACAATTTCCTATTCATCCTTCCCACATGGGCTGCTGTCATATATTCTGTTATTTCTGTTTGAAGGGAAATCAAATGGCGGATGTGAAATATGAATGTCCTACATGCGAATTTTCTACATTAAATCCAATTTGTCATAAAATGAATTGTAAATAAATTATACTTGTATTAGAAACAGATTTTTATTTATATTTCCAAAAAAAAGAGTCAATTGAGCATCGTAACTACAGTTAAAAGTAAAAGACTTTTTCATCATAAAAGTATATTATATAATATTTATATACCGAACGGAACGGAACACAAAATGCGTTTGTAGATCACTTTCTAAATTGGGGCCTCCTTTGAAAACTTGAAATAGTAACAAAGTTATGTAAACTTCAAACCAGTCCTATTTTTATTCTACTTCTTTAATTTAGGGGTGGAGGTGGAACCGCTAATTGTATTATCGAGTGGGCGATATCGTTTGGTTAGAAATCGTTATTTTTGGTGTGCAATGATCATAATTTTGAATGTAAAATAGCGATTCAATATAGAATTTTCATAGGCAAGGCATGCGGAAATCCAACTTTAATTGCAATTTATTTAATGCGGAAAGAGACAATTTCTGCAAAACCTACAAGGAATCGAATTGATATTTTTGTAAGACGCAATAATTAACACGAGCTGAGATTATGTAAAAAGAGGATAGAGCGTCCAATAATAGACGTTATAGGAAAGGAAAGAAATTGAATACTATATAATATTTATTAGTAGATATAAAACATATATAACATATCACATTCTAGTATATATATACACATTCAAAAAGGTAAAAAAATATAAAGTCGTTATTATATTCAATATACATAACAGAGTGATATGAAGTTAGACTAGTAAAGAATAAGATAATAAGTACGGCAAGAGAAGATAAGAGGGAAATGAGAAATGAAGTGCTTAAACTAATTTGTGATGGGGGTGACTTATTGGACTACAGAATATAATCGATGTTTGACATTATTATTGTTTCTTGGAATTCGTGACCTCTGCATGAAATCCAGTTTTCCAGTCAGCATTGTAAGTTACAGTGCGAACATTGCCGTCAGGTTCTACCAATGAATATTGTCCAGTTACATTGTCACCGTCGCGTTCTTCCTTTTGTTCTTTAATGTCACCGGTGTGTGGGTCGTTCACACCATATTTGAATGCGTAGCGTGGATGAGCATCCTAAAAATATATTATATTTAGCTAAAAGTATTTTGAAATGATCGAGAAAATTCTAAAAATAATTATCGAAATACTCAATATGTTCATCAAATCTGGAGCATTTGAAAGCAGAGCAGAAAGTAGAGACCTAAATTTGTATGTCTCGTTTAGAGGTTTCTGCGTTTAAATACTGTAATTATTTTAAAATTATAGTCTTACGTAATATTGACTTTGTTCCTCATGATGGTTGTTATAATGACTGGATCCCGATGAACTGCTGGATTGGGAAGCGTAGATTCCGGAGCTAATTGGAGCTACTTGTACAACTTGTTGTTTTGTAGCAACTGGAGTGGCAATATATTGAGTGGCAGCAACAGGAGTAGAAATTTGCGCGTAACTACTTGGAGTGTAACCGGAAGAATGATGAGAAGCGAATTTGTTTGATTCACCTCCTGATTGAGAGCTTGAAATTCCGTAAGACACTTGAGTCGGAGCTTCATACTTGATTAAAGTTGGAGCTTGGTATTTGATCACAGTTGGCGTTTGGTATTTCACAAGAGACGGAGCTTGATATTTAACTACGGTTGGAGTTTGATATTTGAGAACAGTAATTGGTTGATGTTGTATTTGAGAAGTTGAAGATTGATATTGAACTACTGGAGCATGGATATTACTAGCAATAGGTTGGTATTGAGCAACCGGTGTTTGGATATGAGTAACTTGCGCTTGATGTTGAACAAGTGGAGCTTGAACATGAGATACTGTAGATTGATATTTTGCGATCGGTGCTTGAATTTTAGCATATTGTGGTTGATATTGATTGACTGCTGATTGGACGTGGGAGATAGTAGTTATAGGTGCTTGGGAAACTTGGGTTTGATATTTAACTACTGGAGCTTGGTATTGAATAGCGGCAGATTGGTAATTTACTACTGGAGCGGGATATTTAATAACGGGAGCGGCGACTTTGATGGTTGGAGCATAAGAGGCAATAACAGGAGCGGACTTGATACCATAAGAGCTTCCGTATAAAGATTGAGTTGAATAACCAGAAGAGGAAGAAGCGTCGCTTGAAGAGTATGAAGATTTAGTGTTGATAAAGGACGGTAAGTATCCACGGTTCAATGATCCAATGTTTGGGGTTGTCGTATATTTGATTATAGGATGAGCAACTGCTTGCAGTTTTGTGGCTGGAACGTTATAGGTATATCCGTCAAAATTGGAAGACGCGGAACTGGAGTAGCTAGAACCAGAGTTATAGCTGGAATCCGAGGAATAAGAAGAAATTGATGGGGCTAAGCTATAGGAAACTTTATTTAGACCCAATGAAGCTTTCGCTCCATACAGGCCCAATCCTTCGGATACGGCATAATTTTGTGCGACGATCTTAGGTGTTGGCACCGCGGCTACTTTGGTAGCTGGGGCAGCAGAGTAAATGATTCCAGATGATTTGTAAGCATTTTCAAAACCATTTGAAGCATGACTAGAGGCAGAATAACCACCGCTATAACCTTTAGATGGGGAGAGGCCAAGTGCCAACGCTTTGGCATCACCATTGTATCGGATTAAATCGGGGTCTTCGAGTGCCCAACTGGTTAAAACACAAAGTGCTATAAATACCTGAAAAAAAGAAGAAGATGCTGTATTACAGATTTGCCACTAATATCACTTTTTTTTAACGAAATTCGTTTATAATTCACTCGGATGGCACTTGATTTCCATTTCGTACTTACCAAAGTTTTTGCCATGTTCAATGCCTGGGGGTGGTTTATGTGGCTTTTATTTCAACGATACGCGACGAAAAGTCGCTGGTAGTAAAACTATACTACTACTGATGACTGAATTGGATCTAGTCCGCTTTATATACTAGATCGACTGGTCCAGATATGATAGGTTATGTCCAGTACATCTGACCAGATAATTGGCGGGCGCGCGTATCACTTTCACCTGTTTACGGATTTCAAATGGATTTGTTTGGACCGTCCATGTGCAGAAATGAGTAAGACAGCGCGCGAGCAAGTGGTGTCTGCGGATTTTTTGGAGAAAGGAGAAAGACGGACGGACTGACGACGGCCGATTGCGGTGCATAAAAGGGCCCGGAACAAGTATCCGAAAAAGAAACGATTAAAAAACAAAGCAAGTGTGAAGTGAAAATACAAGCACCGGTAATTGCAAATTTTCGTCAGTTTCTAAATATCATTCCGCTTATTATGCCTATTAGCGATATACATAATTTACATGTTTAATTAGTTTTCTCGTTTTATTTACATATTATTACACTACGTTTCCAATCCCGTTGATACATTTTGCAATAGTTCTTAATATTTCACATTAATCTAAATGTTATTGATCATTAAACTTAATTCTATTGTAGTTGTAAATAACATTTAAAAAAAAGAAATAATAAATTAGGCCGTGAGAGAAAACAATCGAAACAATAAAAATAATAATTACAAAAAATATCAGATCCATTCATGCCGCAGAATATGAAAAAATGATGGTATAAATGTTTTTCCAGCTTTAAAAAGTAAATTTCCAATAGCAAATATAAAAGTCTATCTTCAGTAACGACAAACCCCATGTTATTATGTACAGTTATGTCTTCGCAAAACAAAAAAATATTTGCATTTTTTTTTCAACACACTTAAATCAAACATAAAAACTGTAATGTATACTAAAAGATAGGACAATTTTACATATCTTCTTTAGTAGCTCGTATTACTAATAATTAACTTTAATTAATGAAAAATGAAACAAATATGTCATGTTATAAGTTCTATTAATTTTGGCAATGTTATTAATATTATATGTTCACATTCTTCAATTAATTAAACTATTTTTCTATTGAATTCAGGATTCCTTTTCCTGTTGGTTATTATTAAGTAAATACTTAATTTCTATTAGCATTAATGATTTCTATTGCCGTTAATCCTTATTGAAGTAGTGCAGTTGTATTTTGGTTATTTTTAATTTGCTTGGAGTTTTGTAGATATTTTTCCAGATTTTCATTTCTTCCGTTATATTTTTTTTGTCATATTTCTCGCTTTAACTTAACGAATTATATTATTAATGTTTATTGTTACATAAATTAATGAATAAATCTATTTTTGTTAAGTTCATTAATATGAGAAAATATTTCAGCAATCGATTCTTTAGAATCAGTGATATATTAAATAATATGAGTAGTAAACAAAATTAACAAACATTACTTCCTGAGACTTTTTCTTCTCAATATTTCTATCTAAGAAATATTTATATTTCTCAAATACAAATTGTCGAACAAATTTATTTTGTTTTTTTTGAAATATTAAAACCGTACTATAGTGAAGCAGCACTGTACGAGGTAATGCTGTAATTAAAAATTCCATTATATTTTCATATTATATATATACTAATTATTTAAATGTGTTATCAAAAGAAGAAATTCTTTTGATAACACATTTAAATGGAACGAACTTAGATTGGATGACGTTCTAATATATGCAAAAACTTATAAGTCAACAACTTAATTAGTCAATCCAATATGCCAAAAATGAGGCGGCAGTAAAAAGGTGTTATATTTATTTCTTTTTTTTTTCAATGTCAGTTCGGTTTTAGTAATCTAGAAATATTTAAATGAAAGTTTCTAATTATTGTCAACGTGTAATTAATAAATGACTAGATGGAAAGGTTTTGATAGCGCGTTTGTGTTTCTTTGTCTGGTGCAATACAAAAAAAAAGTAGAAAACAAATCTCGGTCCTTGTAGCCGTAGAGAAGACTTTTTCTCAAATATGCGTTACGACACAAAAACTCGTACAAAATTTGTATAATTATTGATTTGCGCCGGCTTTAATAAATAATAATAAAATGAAGCGAGAGTTTTTTTTAATACGAAGTAAGAGCTAATCGCTACTGCCGAATATCCCGACCCGTCGCAAACATAATTAGAGAAGTAATTTAAATTAGACCAGTTTTGATAATAGGAACTTTCCCTGTTATTTAATGTTAAACCAATATATCAACAAATTTATGTAAGTTGCCTGGAGGATATTAGAATCCCACTACACTAGCATATAAAATATACTTGTATACATATCTAAGCGTCTATTAAAATCTCAGTATTATTAAAATTACGTCGGTTATTGTTTATTTTTATTGCAATATTTCAAAAGGTTATTTATTTAATCTAAATTGATACGTAATATTTTTTTGAATCAAAATATGTTTTTATACAGAAACCAATTATTATTAAAATTAAGAAAATAATATAAATAATTTAAAATTTCTATTTAATTAATTCATTTATTCATATTCCTAAACACCAACTGACATACTACATTCATTAACTAATGAATTCATTGCATTGCATTTCATTTCAAAATTTCAATTAGTTCATTCATTCAAGAGATTTCACTGATGCGTAATATTATATTTACGTAATGTATAAAATAGGGCAAAAAGATCAGTAGCAACTTGAGTTTATTCATGATTCTTTTATTTTTAAATATTCAATTTATAATTATATATGTAATTTTATGGTTTAAGAAGACAATTTCATTTATAATGAATATTTTATTAATTTGTATTATTGAATATACAAGTAGAAACTATTTAAATTCGCAATGCTGTAATGCGAACAGTTTCATGATCAACACGGTTGGTTGGTTGGATTAACGGAGCGTAACATAAATATAATAAAACCTATTCACTACTGACCTACCACAAGATGAGTAGTTTTTCATTGCCAGAATCAATGTCAGATAGGAATATATTAACGAAACATTAACAAAAATCATTAATTCAATAATTAATGAATCATAATTGAATTAAGTTACAAGCGTATAATTATTAATTTCTTCATGTATCTTAATAAGACATGTTAAGTGGACATTTGAAAGTTTAATTTGTAGAACGTTTTGTTAATATACAAAATCAATTCGGCTTTAAAAATTATCATATTAGTTTTTAAATTGTATACATTCTTAGATTTGTATAATTTGTTAGAATTGTTTTCAAAAGTCTTTGAAAGAAAACAGATTTTCATACTTTTATATTACTGGAAAACCAAAAATGCTTCAAAAGAAATAACTAAGATATGCACTGTTTAGTTGCTCTCAAACTGTGGGGTGCGTCACTTGACAGGGGCGGAGCGTCAAATAAATAAACAAGACATATTTAACATTATTCATTTAAAATATAATTTCAATGAAAGCATTATAATAAAACATTTCCAGGGCTAAGATCTAATGACTAAATACTTGACTTATATCGCGAACTACGAAAAATTGAGAACCGGTGCTTTAGTTGAATTAACTCTGCGAAAGCAATTCGCTAAGTATAAATAATAAACCTCGTTATGTTTCTTTTACTATCCTACAAACATTATTAGAGTTAGACTGATTTGTATTAATAACCTTATAAAGATTTGACGAAAAACCTTACAAATTCTGGGAGGATGAATAATTTGTTCTGGGTAGAAATACCATCTGCCAAATGTAACTGGTAAATTGTTGATTTTTTTAATACTTTTTATTTTATTTTAAGTTTTATATTGAATTTATGTTCATTTTAATCAGGCCAATAAATTAATATTATTAAAAAATTTAATTGGGGTAACAAATAGTCAAGAAAACATAATATTATTGCTTGCGTTGCAATAATGGAAAATCTATAAAACTTAAATTGATTATAGTTCACAGAATTGCGAATGTCGATTTTATAATAATATAAAAATAATGGTTACGAAAACCTCGAGTGAAACCGAAGTATCTTATGGATTAAGATAATTTCAATATTTCAACTTCTTTATTTGCTCGAATCTTTATTTTAAAATAATTTATGGAAGTATGGAATGCGTTTTATCGGTTCAGTATAAATGTGGCGAACACTTTTTCCATTTACTCTGTGCTTCTACTCAGTTACGTAAGGCCCCTTACACGTTGCTCCAATTTAACCTACATACACTCTTTATTAAAAGGAAACTGAAATGATTATGCTATGAAATATTTTAAATAAACCTAAAAGTGCTAATTATTAATAAATTAAAATTCTGCAGATTTATTTTTAAATTATGAAATGGATATATTTGATAGAGAATCAATATTTTCAATAACAACCTTTAAATCAATTATACTTTAATTTTGTTAATCTATATGGAGAGAAAATGTAATGATTTATAGTTAAATTAATCTTCAATATAATTTGATTAGATTTTTTCAGGTTTAAGTAGAAGTGGGTCGAAGTCGTTATTAATTTTTATTTGTATTTATTAATAAATAAATTAATTAAGCATAGTTAAAAGCTTTTAAATAGTGCAGAATTAGAACAAACACGCGTTTTATTCTTTTTTTGCACGCCCAAGAAAGAATGTCGACCGTTTCTAATGCGCCCAATAAAAAAGAAATGGAAAGAATGTTTGGAAATATAATATATGCAATACGCTTGCAGTGCCATGTAAGAATTTATCAATCAATTTATCTAAATAAAATGTGTAATTGATTTTAAACAATTCTCATTAGCTCGTTTCCTTTCACTTGGTTAATAATTTTAGGAGAGTTGCTACACCCACATATTCGTTCATCTGTTTTCGACGAATAATATAATGCGACTAGATAGTTTGACTTTGTATAAAGGAAATATATAATTATAAATTTTAATATCAATTAATCAAATTAATTGCTGAATATTTCGTTAGCAACAGTATACATGGATTATATCATAGTTTATAATTATTTATGAAAAAGGCTAGAAGTATGGATGGCTAGTGATTAAGAAAAAATAACCCTTTCACTTAAAAATACCGAAGGTTGTAGTTTACTTATATTTGAAGAAATCGGTCGTATGTATGCAAATATGTAAATGCAAATACATAATAGAACAAGAGCAAATTGATCGCGTTTTCACAATACAATTTTGTAATAATGTTAAAAGCTCATTTGATTATTCAGTTGAATTAGGCTTATCACCAATATATATATATGGAAATAGGACAGAAGGACCAAGGTCGTTAGATCATATGTTATTTAGTAATTATATATTTAATAAATTATTAATATGAAAATCTAAAAATACATACAATATTTTTCTTATGGAATATTATGTACTCGTTATTGTGGTTCATTGCGCAACGTCGAG